ACTCCTTGTCCCAATTACTAATGGGAGTTTACAGCTGTTTCTCTTCATTTAGAGTTGGCCCCATCAGCAAATGAAGGTCCCGCAGGCTTTACTCCATTCCCGTCATCACAGTCAACTCGACTTTAAAGAGGCAGCTCTTCCCCAGTAGTATTTTGAGTGCCTTCTAGCCTGAGGAGCTCATCGTCTGGCACTATATCTGACAATATTCTGGTGCTTTTCATCATGTTTCAATATTCAGTGTTCTGGTACTGACAGTTTTCCACTGTTATTCATAGGTTTTTAGTGACTAAATATTCAGAAGTAGTCTGTTTGTCCTTCTTCCTTCTCTGTCTTCATCTGGAAGCTCAGGTGAAACCTGTGCTCCATGGGTGACCCTGATGGTATTTAAAATATCATAGCTTCCAGAACATGCAAACCACCATAGTACAACAAACAGACGAGTCTACCAAATTAAGGACATAGAATATATGTAAAACCAGATCTATTAAACTTTACATTTATTCATATATTTCCTTGTTACAAAAATGATTTTGGATATCTTGCACAGATATATATGATAAGATCTCTCCAGAGGAAATGTTTGTGTATAGTATAAAGCGAACACTGAAATGATGCTCTAAGGATAGAGTATAGTATCCCAGTCTATCAAATATTTAGTTGGACATAAAAAGAGAAGACTGTAGAAGAATCTGAATTTGAATTATGGTGTTATAGAAGAATATTACAAGTACCATGGACGTCCACAGAACAGTTCTGTGTTGCAAGAAGTAAAACCAAAATGCTCTTTAGTTGAAAGGAGGGCAAGATTTTGTCTCTCATACTTTGGACGTTTTTAGGAGGACCAAAATCTAAAGAAAAACATCATGTTCAGTAAAGTAGAAGATATTGTAAAACAGGAAGATCTCCAACAAGTTGGGTAGGCTGGCAACATGGTAGCAGCAATGAGCAACTGTGAGGATGGCACACACACTAGGCAGTGTTTCATTCTGTTTTGCATAGGTCGCTATGAGTTGGAGGCCAACTCAATGGTACCTAAAAACAACAAGGGAAAGTCTTTCCTTGAAACTAACTTTATCATGTTAAAACCCTTAGCACTTAAAACATCCCTTAGTAAGTACATGAACAAAGGGAAATTGTGTTTTGAGGATCCTAACATGAAGAAAGTGCATTCCACAATAAAAAGAGTGGAGCCTCAGAAAAGGGAATCAAGGTGATCACCAATCACACCAGTTCAAAATTACCAACAGTCTGTAAAACTTTTATGGAAATGGACACACATACACACAAACATTACACAGCTGAATCATTCTCAACAAATTCTTTTATACTGTCATAAAATTCTGAGTTAAAGTATTGAATTCATTTTAAGTATTATATAATAATCCTTTTAAGTATTATTATATACCTGAACCAGGGTCCTAGTGTGGCACTGTAGGATATGCACAGAACTGGTAGCCTCAAGGTCTGAGGTTCAAACCTACCAGCCATTCCTTAGGACCCTACACAGGGTTATAAGTTGGAACACAGTTGATGGCATTTAATAACAATAACATATACCTGAACCAAGTAAACAGTGACAGAGTTCAGATTTTAGTGGTCAAGTGAGCAAAACTAAGTAAGCATGAAACCTTTCACACATTTCTGTCTTGGCACCCTACAGACTATATATAATTATAGTTTTGTTTTTCATCTTCTTATGTAATGTGTTTTACCTGTGCTTTATTGCCTACACAAGGCTTTCAATGGTGTGGATCATGACAAGCTATGGTCAACATTGCAAAGTATGAGTATTCTGCAATACTAATTGTGCTCATAAGAAACATGTACATAGACCAAGAGGCAGTTGTTTGAACAGAACAAGGGAACACCTAATGCTTTAAAATTAGGGAAGGTATGCAGCAGGATTATATTCTTTCACCATATTTATTCAATCTGTATGCTAAGCAAATAATCCGAGAAGCTGGATTATATGAAGAAAAACGTGGTATTAGAATTGGAGGAAGATTCTTAGCTCGCTGAAAGTGAAGAGGGCTTAAAATACTTACAGATGAAGATCAAAGACCACAGCCTTCGGTATTGGTTGCATCTCAATGTAAAGAAAACAAAAATCCTCACCATGGAACAAATAAACAATATCCATCCATATATATGGAGAAAAGATTGAGGTTGTCAAAGATTTCATTTTGCTCGGGTCAATCATCAACACACACAGAAGTAGCAGTCAAGAAATCAAACAATGTATTGCATTAGGCAAATCTGCTGCATAAGACCTTCCCCCCCCCTATAAAAACGTAAATTTAGAAACTTTTATTTTCATTAATTAGAACCAAACAAAAAAGATAAAGCACAGAGGGGGAGACAGAATAATAAAGTGTTCACTTGATTTGTTGGTTGTGAAGGAAGGAGTCAGTAGATGCTGGGAGAGGGAAGCTAGGTCCTGTCACTGGGCAATGTCGGGCGGAGACTGGGGGCTGAGGGGGGGGTGCATAAGACCTTTTTAAAGTGTTGAAAATCAAAGATGTCAGTTTGAGGACTAAGGTGCGATTGACCTAAGCCATGGTATTTTCAATAACCTCATATGCACGTGAAAGCTGGACAGTGAATAAGGGAGACCATAGAAGAATTGATGCTTTTGAGTTATGGTGTTGGAAGATAAAATTTTAAAGTATCATGGACTGCCAAAAGAACAAACAAATCTGTATTGGAAGAAGTGCAGCCAGAGTGCTCCTTGGAAGCCAGGATGGCTAGACTTTGTCTCTCTTACTTCGGACATATTATCAGGAGGAACCAGTCACTGGAGAAAGATATCATGTTTGGTAAAGTGGAGGTTCGGAGAAAAAGAGGAAGACTCCCAGTGAGATGGACTGGCACAACGGTGGCAACGATGGTCTCAGCATAGCAATGATTGTGAGGTAGACCCAGGACCAGGCAGTGTTTCATTCTGTTGTGATAAGGGTCACTATGAGTTGGTACCGACTTGATGGCACTTAACAACAACAACAATTTAATGAGAATTTGTGATTGAAATGCTAGAGCTGAACCTCATTAGTAGAATTTACCTGAACCTCATTAATAGAAATTACAATGAATGCTAAGAAAAATGGAATTTAAATTTCAACACTGCTATTAACAAGTCCTCGAGTTCTGGTGTGGCGCTGTGGGCTAATATGCCAGACTGAAAAGTCATTTGAACTGCAAGGTTGGCGGTTCAAGCTCACCAGCTGCTCCAAGGAAATCCTATATAGGGTCGCTATGGGTCAGAAATGACTCGATGGCACTTAACAACAACAACAACATTAACAAGTCCTAGAGTCCTATTGTGGCACTGTGGGTTAATGTGCCAGGCTGCAAAGCTGTTTAAATTGCAAGGTCGGCAGTTCAAGCTCACCAGCTGCTCCTGGAACCCCTATACAGGGTCGCTATGGGTTGAAACCAACTCGATGGCACTTAACAATACCAACAACTAACAAGTCCTGGTGTGGTGCTGTGGGTTAATGCGCTGGACTGCAAAGTTGGTGTGAACTGCAAGGTAAATGGTTCCCTCACCAGCCGCTCCTCAGAAACCCTTTACAGGGTCACTATGGGTTGGAACTGACTCGATGGCACTTAACAGCAACAACTAACAAGCTGAAGGAGATATGATAGCATAGTAGTTACAAGTTGGGCTGCTAACCTTAAGGTCATCAGATGAGGTTTTCTGCTCCCATAAAGATTTACAGTCCCAGAAACCCTATACAGGGTTATCATGAGTCGGAACCGATTTCATGGCACACAAATACCACCACAGCTACCACAACCACCACCACCAACAACAACAATAACAAGCTAAGAGACTTTGGTAAAACTACTTAACCTTTCTAGTCTAAAGTTTTCCAACCTACAAAATTATCTTTAAGGTTTCTTCTAACTGTAAAAGTCAACTAAGCTTTGAGTCTGCTGACATTTTACATGTACAGTTAAGGCACTGTGTATGCTTAGGTGTCCAGGAGGCAGAGAAATGGGGCACTGACCTAATAACTTAGAGAAAACTCACTGTAAGTACTTGAAATGATCGGTTATAAAATGCATTGGGTTTCTTTGAAGAGGAAAACCCCAAACCACAAAAAAATTGTGATGCCATGTGGTATTTCAGAAACATTTTGTTTAAACTCTATTCTTAGACTAAAACTAAATCAAAGAATTATAGGCATAGGAGATGTATCACACACACATACATAAGATAATTATAACCAAGTCTACAGTCTACTTGTTGGTCCCTGGAGTTGCAATGGGTTAAGCGCTGGACTGCTAGCGGTTCAAATCTATCAGGCACTCCACAGGAGAAAGATGAGGCTGGCTGCTCTGATAAAGATTTAGTCTCGGAACCCCTAAAGAGCAGTTCTACTCTGTTCTGTAGGGTCATTATGAGTTAGAATTGACTCAGTGGCAGTGGGTTTTTTTTTTGTTGTTTTTTTAACCTCCAAGAACTCTGTAGAGTCCTGGTATGCTGTCAGATACGCACTCGACCGTAAGATCAGCTTGAATCGCAAGGTTGGCAGTTCAAATTCGCCAGTTGTTCCTCGGAAACCCTATACAGGTTTGCTTTGAGTCAGAACTGACTTGACAGCACTTAACAACAATAATAACTCTGGACCTTCAATTTTCCATCTGACATCTGATTTTCACCTATCTCATGTCAAGGTGAATTTCTGCAGTCACTTCATGTCTCAGCCTCATCTTTACAATGGAAGATGTAGGTCAAATCACCATCAAGACCTCTAGTTCTATCATGGGTCATTATTTATATTGCTTTGTGTTCCCAGCAGGAAAGAATCAAGGTAATCACAACTGTCTGTTGCGTAAATACATTCTTAACACTTAACTGATTGCTTGATACTAGTAAAATCAAACAAACAAGCAAAAATCGGACACTTTGATAATCACTTCAATTCACACTGCACTCGTAACACGTGAATATACATACACTCTATTTTCAATATACTGTCTACTTATGTTCTCACCTCTTTCTTGAGCCTTTCTCTCCTTTGTTCCAGCTGTTTTTGCAGTTCTTTCTGTCGAGGGGAAAGACAATATGTTGAAGTCACTGGAGATATATTTGTAGAGTGGGTCCTGTAAATGGATTTCTTAGTTCCTTTACTTCTATCTGAGTTGACAGCAGAGTGTGGACGAGTCTTGGGATTGGCTGGTGGCTGAGGGACAAAAGCCAGTTGTTCTCCTGTTGATGAGGGAGCAACAGCATGAGTCTTTGCAACAGACTCTTCTTTCATAACACCATTGACAAAAGAGTTGGGAGAGCTGGGTGGTAACGGTGGAAGTTCATTCTCGGTATTATTATTAATGGGTGGCAAAAAACCCTGGCTCTCAATGTCTTGTAAATTCAGAAGTTCAAATTTTCCATCTCTCTCTACTAGTATCTTCCTATCCTTGCTTTCTTCACAGCTTGTATCATTAAATGATAAGAGCACATTTTCTTGTGTAATTTCATTGGAAATACATAACTGTGAAAGCTTTCCAGACACATTACTTTCATTATCAAAACAATTTTTGTAATCATCAGTGTCTTCCAGTGGAGGAACCTCCAGATCAACTAATTTGTCCTTGAACTTAAGTTTCCGCTCCCTTTTATCATCCACAGGTTCTTGATTCTGTAGAAGTTTGTTGGCTTGTATAATTTTCTCCATAATATATCTCCTTACTTCCTCATCCTCTTCTTCCTCCAGGTCTTTTGGGCTTTCCACTTTGGATTCCTGGAAAGAGTATTCACTATCTGAATCTGACATGGGTTCCAAAGGTTGTACACTTGGCACAGAAATGAAGTCATTTCTTCTTGATGAAACTTCATCCTTCAAAGATTTGTCAGGATCAGAAAGCTGCTTGGTGCAGTCTATTTCTTCTTCGTTCTCTTTTAATTCTTGGTTAATAATCTCTTCCTTCCCGTAAGCCACCTTTAGAGAAAAAAGATATAAGGCTCTCTGTTCCTGTCAAAACTGATACTCTTCAACCACTTATATGTGGCTGATACAAAAACGGACTTTCCTATTCATATAATTAATTTTTTTTAGGAATACTGGTGTGGCACTGTGTGGTAAGCACTGGACCACAAGGAAGTTTTGAAATGCACGGATGGTGGTTCAAACTCAGCAGCCGCTCCTCAGAAACCCTGTACAAGGTCACTCTGAGTCAGAACTGACACGACAGCATTTAACAACAACACATCATTTATTTTGTAAACAGGCAAGTGTAAATGCTTCTTGCTTATGCTTCATACATATTTTAATTAATAATCATGAATATATGTATATTTTAACAAGGGAAATACATATATGTGATAATAGCACTATAGGGAAAATGTAACTCTAAATCTGAACTTGATGTTGCCAAGTACTAAGTACTAAAATCAAAAAAAAAAATTTTTTAGGCCAATGCACCTTGCCTTGGTGGAACTGCAGGAGAAACACTGGATGGCTTATAAGCACTGGTCCATGAGGCTGACAGTTCAAACCTACCAGACACTCCATGGGATATAGATGAGGCTGTCTGCTCCCATAAAGATTTCCAGTCTTGGAAACCCTATATAGGGTTGATATGAACTGAATCAACTCAATGGCTGTGGGGTTTTGTTTTTGTTTTTTAATGTATCAAAAGGTAAATGATAACATCATATTTTAGCATTCTCTCACCTATAAAATTATCCTCCATTTACACTTTCAGAAGCAATTTTCCAATTTTTTCCCTCCTTGTAATGGATTCTTCAAAACAGCATTTTGTTCTATTAGCAGAATCCTTTCTCTCCACAACTATTACAAGATCACACTGCCTTTGGTCAAGTGCTAATCATTTGAGGCTTTTATAATCTTTTCAAATTATTATTGCTGCAATTGTCTGTGGAGTCTACATGCACATTCTAGGTCTAGTTTTACCTCTAAATCGGTTTAGTGCTTATCCTAAAATGCTATACCAGGACTTCAACTCTATGCCTTAGAGTACAGCATTGAAACGCCACTTCTTTATTTCTAATATGGGGATAATGATACCCAATGTATATCAAAGAATTTTTGTGAGTTTAGCTAAGATAAAATATATAAAATCCTACAAGAATTAGAAAGTATTCTGCTGATTATTATAAATTCAATTACAAATTTATATATACCTCGATTATGTGGACGCTGTTCTTTTCTTTTTCATTAATCAACCACTCCAGATCCTTTTCAAAGTCATCTTCATACTCTCCACAGTCTTTTGAATCAATACCTTTATTTCCATTCATTTTTCTTTTGTAAGGGAATAATGCTGTAAGATTTAAAAGTATGCATAACATATATGTAAGGAGCCCTGGTGGTGCTGTGGGTTAGGCTTTGGGTTGCTAACCACAAAATTGGCAGTTCAAACCCACCAGTCACTCCATGGGAGGATGAGGAAGCTGCTTGCTCCTGCAAAGATTTAGTCTTGGAAACTCTATACAGGGGTCACTATAAGTCAACGTTGATTCATGGCAGTGGGCTTAGGTTCACTTGTGTATGTTATACTCACTTTAGGTGTGGAGTCGAATATGGAGGTTAATGCTGAAGGTAAGATTTAACATAAGGCATTATTGATTATTGCTTTCATGAAAAAGCTAAGTAATACATAAAATACAATGCATTAAATATTAAATATACATATATACCCTAAAAGAGAAATTTATAATGATTAGGTATTTCTATAGGTGTACCATTCCTAAGGAGTCTTGTTATGGCGCTGCAGGATGAAGTGCTGGACCATGAGGTCATTGTGACCCTCAAGGTCAGCAGTTGAAACCCAACAGCCGCTCCTCGAAAATCCTATACGGGGTTGCTGAGTCAGAACTGACTTGATGGTACTTAACAACAACAACAACCATTCCTAAAAACCGTATCTCCCTCAAATTCCCCAAATCCTAATCCACAAAGTGACTGAAGATGGCAGATTAAGAAGATTCTCTGAGGCCTTAGTGAAGGATTTTCTACATCCCTTGCCAAGAATCAAATTCTTTCCACATCAGGAGAGAGGACTCACTTTCTTAGTCTCATCCACTCACAGTTCTTCATGTCAAATAAAAAATCATTTTCCATCCTCAGTTTCTCAGTTTCCCTAAATAATGCTGTTGTTGTTAGGCACCATCAAGTTGGTTCCGACATGTAGCGAGCCTATGCACAACAGAACAAAACACTACCAGGTCCTGTGCCATCGTCAATATCGTTGTTAACCTTGAACTCATTGCTGCGATCACTGTGCCAATCCATCTTATTGGGGTGAGGGTGTTCCTCTTTTTTGTTGACCCTCCACTTTACCAAGCATGATGTCCTTGTCCAGGGACTGGTCCCCCCTGATAATGTGTCCAAAATACTAGAGATGAAGTTTTGCCATCCTGGCTTGTAAGAGGAATTCTGCTGTATTTCTTCCAACGTAGAACTGTGTGTTCTTCTAGCAGTCCATGGTACTTTCAATATTCTTCTCCAACACCAGAATTCAAAGGCATCAATTCTACAGTCTTCCTTATTCACTGTCCAACTTTCACATGCATATGAAGCTATTGAAAATACCATGGCTTGGGTCAGGCACATATTGCTATCTAGTAAAACTATAATTTATAATCTTAGATCTTAAGTAATTAATAACCAATTCTCAATGATGGTGAATGCTGATTTCTACAAAAGTCAAACTTCTTTCAGTGTAAAAAAAAGTGGATTTTCATGAAAAAGAACTATGCTACCTAGCACTAGCTTGAACACAGTGATCATGCACAGGCTTGTCAGATGAAAGTCAGTAACTATTTGTGAAGATGGTATACAAATTCAGCCATTTTTAAAAGAACTTTGCTAAAGTATGTAGAAATTGAGGTCAGTTCTTACCCTTGGTAACTGGGCAGGGGACATAACTTTTCAAACCACATAGACATATAAATACTTATCTATAATACATCTGTATATGTGTGGGAACATACTAAACATAAACACACACATCTGAAATACAGGTTTAACAATCATTTGTTGAACAGCTACTAGGTTCCTATAAAAAAAAATTTTAACTACCCTATGTCCTGAGGTGCACAGTTCAGTACAGAAGACAAATATAAATAAAAGACCATAATGAAAAAATAAATAAAATGAGTTATCTAGGAAGACTATGGAAAGAAAAAGAAAACAAGTAATGGAATCAGTCTAAAATTGAAACTATAGAGAAAGCTGAAATAGGTTTTGAATATTGAGTAGGAGAGCCCATCAGTTATTTCAGGCAAAGAAGGCAACATGAGAAAGAACATACAATCATGAAAGTGCATGATATCGTCCATTGCAGCATGTTCTTGAAGAAGGATATGGAAGGAGGGAAGGGGTCAGCATTAATTTGATGTCTTACTAACTTTTCAAAAAGAAAAGAGGGGAACATTATTATATAGATTTAAATTTCATCAAATATAGTAATAGATAGTAATAATCCATACATTTTTCACTACAGACTAAAAAAAAGAGCAGTGTTTTAAAATTTATATAGAACTTTAGATTTAGTTTCAAAGGAACTATATAAATCAGGTTTTCAAGGCCCCAAACACCTAACACCTGGTCTTACTCCTACAACAAGAATACTAGTAATGTTAGTATGCCATGGAGTCAGTTCTGACTCATAGCGACCCTGCATAGGGTTTCCAAGGCTGTAAATCTTTACGGGAGCAGAGCCTCATCTTTCTCCCACGGTACAGCTGGTAGTTTCGAACTGCTGACCTTGAGGTTAGATGCCCGACTGGTAATCACTATGCTACCAGAGCTCCTTACAACAGGAATATACTGCCAAAAATCCTTTTGGAATTAGATGACACATGACATTTTTTTAAAGACATAAAGTGAGAAACATTATACTTCAACTAATTATCTATAAAATTTTTATGTAACTTCTTAATACTGTCCCCAAACCTGTGACTACACCATCTAGTCAAATTTTTACTACAGTGATATTTACATTTTTTTACTCCCACTGTTCAGTGTCAAATGGTAGTGAAATCATGTGGGGAAACATCTTTCCACTAGTTCCACAAGCATTATGAGGTTCAGTCCTATGTGTGAAAAAGACTTGTGAGGGATTTTAGTGAAAAGTAGATTCAGAGAGAATTGAAAGAACGATGAGAAAATACCAAAAATCTAACTGAGCTTTAAGACTGAGACTGGGGGTGAGGGGGGGGGGGTAAGACTGATTGATTGATAGGAAGCACTGTGCTCAATTCTCTGCATTACAGTTTAAAAACAAAAATATATTCCAAAGTTAGCAAACCTAGAGAATGAAAGATAAAAAAAAAAAGAGAAGGAGAAGGGAAAGAGGCAGGCTATGAGAGTAAAACGCCTTAAAGGAATACTTGATAACACTGAAAATATTAGCCTATAGAAGAGAACATTCAGGAATGCCATGGCAACAGCTTTTCAATATTTAAATGGCTGCTGTGTGACGGAGGATCATTGTTGTTATAAAGACCTGAGCTATAGGGTTTCTGAGAAGCAGTGGGTGGATTTGAACTGCCAAACTTGAAGTTAACAATCCAGTACTTATCCTATAGTGCGACACCAGAGCTTTGAAAGAGTATTGCTGTTGTTGCAAGTGCCGTTGAATCAGTTCTGACTCATAGCTGCCCTATATAGGCTTTCCAAGGAGCAGCTGGTGAGTTTGACCAACCTTGTGGTTCAAACAGACCTTGCAGACCAGTGCTTATCCTACAGTGCCATACCAGGCGCCTTGGAGTTGGCCCCAACTCATAGCAACCCTATGAACAGCAGAATGAAATACTGCCCAGTCTTGCACCATCCTTACATTTGTGTTACACTTGAGCCCACTACTGCTGCCTCTGTGCAAATCCGTCTCCTTAGGGGTCTTTCTCTTTTACACTGACCCTCCATTTTACCAAGCATAATGTCCTTCTCCAAAGATTGGTCCCTCCTGGGAATATGTCCAATGTATGAAAGATGAAGCTTTGCCATCCTGACTTCTAAGGAGCATCTGTACTTTGGTTGATGTAAAGGAGTATTGTTGTTAAGTGCCGTCGAGTCAATTCTGACCCACAGCGACCCTGTATAGGGTTTCCAAGGAGAAGCTGGTGAGTTTGAACCACCGACAATGCAGTTCAAACGACTTTGCAGTCTGATGCATTAGCCCACAGCGCCACACCAGGACTCCTAAATGTTTGGCATGTATAACTTCAACAAGTTAAACTAGTATTAACAGTTGGGAAAACATGAGAAATCTTTAACAAAATTAAGCCAGAGTTTACATATTTCACACTAAGAGTATTCTAATAAAGAAAAATGAGCTGCCAATAGAAATGTTGAGTTCCCTGTCAACAGTTCCCTATATACACACACATACATACACTGATGTCTATGGCAAGAACGTTTAAACTAATTGAAACTTTAGTCAAATTGGTTAGGCTAGATGACTCTTAAGATTTCTTTTATTTTAGATTCTCTCATACCATGATAAGGAGCTCTGGTAGCATAGTGGTTACCAATCGGGCTGTGAACCTTAAGGTCAGCAGTTTGAAACTACCAGCTGTTCTGTGGAAGAAAGATGAGGCTTTCTACTCCCATAAAGATTTACAGCCTCAGAAACCCTGTACAGGGTCGCTACGAGTCGGGACCGACTTCACAGCACATAACCATCACCATACCATCATAAAGCTCACCCAAAAATAAATGCCTAAATGATGAAATTCAGGACTTAGAGGGAAAAAAAAAAGGCATTGCCAGAAGACCAAGCAAATCTGTATTGTAAGAAATACAACCAGAATGCTCCTTAGAAGCATTCATCTTTCATACTTGGACATATTATCTGAGGGACCAGTCCCTGGAAAAGGACATCATGCTTGGCAAAATGGAGGGTCAGTGAAAAAGACGAAGACCCCTAAAGAGATGGATTGACAGCTGTAGCAACAGTGGGCTGAAACATAACAATAACTGTGAGGATGGCGCAGGATGGGGCAGTGTTTTGTTCTGTTGTGCACAGGATCGCTGGATTGCTATGAGTCAGAAACCACTTGACAGCACCCAAGAACAAAAATTGTATTATAATTTTCTGTAGCTATTTATTTCTTTTAAACTAAGAGTCAAAAATGGACTTTTTTAAACAACTCAGAGTAAGGCTTCAGCAATTTGTAAATCAACAGTTGAGGTCAGTGGTATTTTGAGGTGAACTGGAGAAACTTAATCAATATTTCTAAGTAAGTATATTTACTACCGCCTAGCTGTAAAACAAGTTAAATCTATCTACCAA